TATAAAATGTATAATAATTCATTCAAATTAATTAAACACTTTTAAATAGACTGCAGCAATAATATTTTGTCCCACATTATTTAGTTTAGTTCAGAATCACGGGAGAATCGTGATCTCTATTTGAGACAAAAAAAAATCGTGATTCTCAATTTATACAGATTCGTGCAGCTCTAGGAGGAACATAATTATTTAAATGAAATTAAAAAAACATTTAGACAGTAAGATTTTTAATGTTTTTTTTTTTAAGAATTCTCTTCTGCTCACCAAGCCTGCACTTATTTGATCCTAAGTACAGCAAAAACAGTAAAATTTTGAAATATTTTACTATTTAAAATAACTGTTTTCTATTTGAATATGCTTTAAAATGTAATTTAGTCCTGTTTTTTCCAAACCTGAATTTTTAGCATCATTACTATACAGTCATGTGATCGTTCATAAATCATTCTGATATTCTGATTTGTTACTAAAAAAAACTTTTATTATTATTATTATTATGTTGAAAACAGCTGAGTAGAATTTTTTGTCAGGTTTCTTTGATGAATAGATTAATTAAACACTTTTAAATAGACTGCAGCAATAATATTTTGTCCCACATTATTTAGTTTAGTTCAGAATCACGGGAGAATCGTGATCTCTATTTGAGACAAAAAAAAATCGTGATTCTCAATTTATACAGATTCGTGCAGCTCTAGGAGGAACATAATTATTTAAATGAAATTAAAAAAACATTTAGACAGTAAGATTTTTAATGTTTTTTTTTTTAAGAATTCTCTTCTGCTCACCAAGCCTGCACTTATTTGATCCTAAGTACAGCAAAAACAGTAAAATTTTGAAATATTTTACTATTTAAAATAACTGTTTTCTATTTGAATATGCTTTAAAATGTAATTTAGTCCTGTTTTTTCCAAACCTGAATTTTTAGCATCATTACTATACAGTCATGTGATCGTTCATAAATCATTCTGATATTCTGATTTGTTACTAAAAAAAACTTTTATTATTATTATTATTATGTTGAAAACAGCTGAGTAGAATTTTTTGTCAGGTTTCTTTGATGAATAGAAAGTTCAGAAGAACAGCATTTATCTGACATGGAAATCTTTTGTGACATTATAAATGTCTTTACCATCACTTTTGATCAATTTAAAGCATCATTGCTAAATAAAAGTATTAATTACTGACTCCAAGCTTTTGAATGGTATAGTGTTTTAATGTTTTTTTTTTTAAGAATTCTCTTCTGCTCACCAAGCCTGCACTTATTTGATCCAAAATACAGCAAAAGCAGTAATATTGTGAAATATTTTTACTTTTTATTTGGAATAGCCTATATATTTTACTGCTTTCTATTGGAATATCTGTTAAAATATAATTTATTTCTGTGATGCGCAGCTGAATTTTCAGCATCATTACTCCAGTCTTCAGTGTCACATGATCTTCAGAAATCATTCTAATATGCTGATCTGCTGCTCAAGAAACATTTTTATTATTACTATTATCAATATTTAAAACAGTTGAGTACATTTTTTTCAGGATTTTTTGATGAATAAAAAGCATAGACTGTAAAAAAATATGGACTATACGTCTGTGACGTCACTCGTAGGTTTCTGAAGAGCATTTTTGAAGCCTAAAGTGGGCGGAGCCGGCTGACCGCCGCCATCTTGGCAGGACGTCACTCCCGGATCATTGAAAATGGGCAAAAAGGCGGGACGTGGGTGAAGCAGGTGCCTGGTTGCTGAAACCACGCCCGTCTATAGTGACAGCATTGCTGCCGTGCAAAGACAAAACACCATAACTTCGTTTTGGTCAAAAATTAGTTATTGATCATTTTGGGACATTCATGACCACGTTTATCATGTGTATAAGTATCTTGGAGAAAAGCCCAGGAGAAACCAAGGCAGAACACAGTAGCCTATAACATCAGTTACTGCTCTTCGACTTTGTTTTGAAACGCTCAAATTACGTTACGGTGCTCTGCATCTGTTTAGCCGTTCGTTTGTGCCGGCCTGGAGTTATACGGTATTCTGCCTTTGTTTTACTGTGCATTAAAGTCTGCCGCGCTTAAATTACGGTGTGACTTGTGTACTTTCATACATCTGTCAGCACTTTATTAGACAAACAAATTAGATAGATTGCGATCTAACAAACTGCTCCATATAACAAAGCACTGTAAACAAGCAACGACTAGATAACTTGGCAACAATAATTAATCGTAATTAATCTTTAAAGTTATTTTTTATTTGTATAATGCAGATTATTCACTCAGTGCCAGCTGTTAGTCTGGGGCTGCCCACTTCTGCACGTGACAGCGCAGCACACATAAAACCAGTAACTGTTCGCAACCGTTTCCTACCTTTTCTTGTAACTCGATAAAATCCATTGCAATGAACGTCATCGTCGGAGATGTTTGATTCACAATCATTCTCAGCATTATTCCTTCGGCGTTCACATCAATCCACAAGTCGTTCTTATAGGTTAGGCTATTTTCATTCAATTCGATGTAAAAACAATAATAAGTGTGTCTTGCATCCTTTAATGTTAGCGAACATTGCAAATAAATTGGTTGCAAAACGGTATCCACTCACGTTTATCTTTTGTCTGGTTGTTACGGTCAGGAAAAAAAATGCAATCACTACTATATGTTATAGCCTAGCCAGTGATCACTAGATTTTATACAGATGTTACTGTAATGATTCTGTAAATGGTGATCAGCACCCAATATTGTATATAATGTGGAAGTTACTGCCTTTTGCCTTGGCGTGACATCTCACTTTTTGCAGACAGTGCAAAGGCAGAGTACTATAACTGCAAAATAGCGGTAAAAATCAAGTTTGAAATCATTTTCATTGAAACATCTAATTGCCAGATTTCCAGTGTCCTACCTATAATTAGTTTTTTTGGACAAATAAAAATCTTTAAAGCCATTTTTCTAAGTTTCACAGTCTGGAGCAGAGCGGCAATCCACCTGTCACTCAAGTGGCCACTCCCTTAATTATGCAGAACTTCAAGGCTTAATATAATTTAAACAGATGAGTTATAAAAAAATTCACCCCCTCACAGTTGTCATGAAGGGCAAAATTACCTATACAGACCAAAAGCACTTTTTGTGTCAGGCTGTAAACACATATTTTTTGTCTGCTGTCTATCATAATAATAAATGCTTCTTGAGCAGCCTATCAGAATGATTTCTGAAGATCATGTGACACTGAAGACTGGAGGAATGATGCTGAAAATACAGCTGCGCATCACAGAAATACATTACATTTTACAATATATTCAAATAGAAAGCAGTTATTTTAAATAGTATAAATATTTCACAATATTATTGCTTTTGCTGTACTTTGGATCAAATAAATGCAGGCTTGGCGAGCAGAAGAGAATTCTTGTAAAAAACATTAAAAAATCTTACTGTTAAAAAGCTTTTGACTGGTAGTGTACATCACATTATTGTACTAATAACTAGTACTCGACTAATAACTGAAGGGCTGTAGGTTTAAATGTCTCGATAAAGCCAAGTACTGGCCGATATATCGGTCTGTCGCTACTTAAAACACAAACGCTCTTGAACACTACACGATCCCTCAAAAGACCAACTAGTAACTACATCTGACCAACCACATATTAAACATAATCCAACCATCACTACATCTAAAAAAGCCTGAAAACAGCATTATTAGGTTATCATCTTAACAAACTGATAAACAGCATCTCCAGAAAGAGAAGATAAAGTAAACACTAAGAGCACTCAAACCCCAGCGAGCTGCCAAGCGGTCTAGTTAGGCAGCTTAATAGGTTTGGAAACACAGCCCTAAGATACAGTTGCCATAAATAGTGCACACTGCCCTTAGTAATAAATACATGCGTTGATGTGATCCCTCACCTCGCTCCTGGAAACTCCGCTTGCTCTTTGCAGCCGACAGCCGGTAAGGCTTCGCTGTTGCTGGTGTAAGCGGTTAACACGACGCCCTGCTCGTCCTGCTGTCGACTCATCTTTAGCGCAGCATTATTGTGAAAGTTTCGGTGTAACTTCGGACGAACTACCGCTCGACTCTCGCCTAACAACATGAGTAACCAGAGTTATACACTCCGCCCCCGCGGCGTCATGTTGACCAATCCTAGTGCGGGAAAGAGTCGGTTAATGAATATTAATGACGTTATGTCACGCTGACCCAACAAGCCCTGCTGATTGGCTGAAATGCATACGCTGTTAAATAAGCAGGCTTGATTCATTAACGTTACGTAACCCAACGCTCAAGAAAAGTTACTAGGCAATTTACGTAACGTAATTAATATACATTAGATACGTCTTTAGCGAAACATAATTAAAAAAAAAATTTGTTTTAAAATTTGACTTTAGTAACCTTCAATCAAGACCCTCAGAGATTAAATCATATTTTGACACTGTTTCACAGAGCATCCATTAATCCCCAGTGATTTACCTCAGCTTGTATCTCAGATACTTATTGGTGTGTATTAATTTAACAACCTTGGTTCCATTAATTCATTATGGCACCTCATGTCTAACAGTCAAGTTGATGTGAAAAATAACTTTGAAATAAAGCGATATTCTGTGAGGCTGAATTTCAGTACAGTTGTTTCATAATTATAAATCAGATCAAACAGAAAATAAGGCAAGCTCCATCTCTGCCTGGCATTAGAGATAAAATGGTTGCGTAAATGGATCTTAGAGAGATTTTCCAGTCCAAAATATTCTCCTGCTGATTTATAGATACACACAATAAAGGCAGCAGCATTCAACAAAAGATAGATGATTTGGTTAATTAACACACATGCATAACATGACACAACACTGAAAACCTAAAGCTGAAGCTTTAAGATGTCAGCATTTTGTAGCAGGTATGAAGTTCGCTCCATTTGCCTGTAATTTGCCTTTTGTGTGTCAACAGTGTGGCCCACGGTCCAGATCAAATGACATCCCCCTCTCTGAAAAAGTGGCCGTTTTTAGGCCGAGCCGAGAGTGAAGGGAAGGAAATATGACGTTCGGCCGAACGCTGACCACACAGATACACTGGAGACCATTATTTATTTACTTTAGTTCCTTAACCCTCTTCAGAACACAAGCGAACACACGTTTCCATTACCATCACAGCTATTTGTTCAGCACGTCTGTCTCTGTACGAGCGCCTGCAAGCTGTGTTCATGTGTGACGATACGGTCCAGATCACGCATTGAATAAAAAGTGCACTTTATTTAGATAGCTGTGTTCTGCTATCAGACACATTCACGACACTAACGTGCAGAAAACACAAACATGGACTCTGTATTGTCTCATATAGGTTTCATTGTGTTGTATGTTTCAAAGTAAATAGCTATTTTTGAAACATAAATAATGGTTTTGAAGAGTAGTTATGTCATGGTGTGTTGCTGATGCAAATAAAATAGTTACTAGTTAATAATTAAGCATAAGTCGAACTGCACTAACAGAAAGACCAGTTAAAGAGCCTTGAAGCTGTGATGGTAGGCTGGTCGCAATGTGATTCCCGAGTGTTTTTCACTATGTTGATGGCTGCTAGGGCTATGTGTTGCTGCTGGTTAGTAACTGGTTCAAGTCAAAAGAGTTGCTTTGTCTAAAATCACATACAGTCAGAGAAGGTGCTGCGTTTGATGAAGCGCATTTGATGTGATCCTTAAAGCATGCATGTGAGAAGTTTGCATATATACTGTCTATATATGAAAGCTTGTTCCCACCACAGGATAAAAAAAATAAAAAGGTAATTGTGAGTTTATATCTCACAATTCTGTGAAAAAGTTTAGAATTGTGAGATATAAACTCACAATTAGCTTTTTATTTTTTATTCCATGGCAGAAAAAAAAAACAGAATTGCATGTTCTAAACTCAGAATTTAGAAGGAAAAAAGTCAGAATTATGATAAATAAACTTGGAATTGTGAGAGAAAAAAAAAAGAATTCAGACTGTCTTTTTTTTCCTCCGAATTAAGAGGAAAAAAGTCAAAATTGTGAGATAAAGATTTAAGCATTTACCTTTTTCTTCTTTCACACGCATGGTGGAACTCACTAAATCCTCTAAATTGGAAAAGTCATGTGATCAGGCGCTGCCATTTACAAATCCAACCTGTACAAAAATTAACCATGTTTTTACTACAAATGAAACCAAAAAACATTGCTACTATAGTTAAACCATGGTAACCACATTTACCATACTTTGCTACACTAACCATAGTTTAACCATGGTATTTGTAGTAAAACTGTGGTTATACAAATGGTAATCAATACGCCAAAAAAACATGGTTTACTAGTACACTTTTACTACAATAAAACCATGGTTAATTTCCGATGTGACAACAACTTAAGTAAAATATCCATTAGATGCACACTTCAAACAGAAGCAGTAGCTCATAAAGGTTGTTGTTTCACCCTGTTTCATGCATATTTGGACAAAACACTCATTTGACGTAATGCTTTCCACAGCATAGCAGCACAGCCCTCCTCAACAAGACACATGTATAGAGAAAGCATTCATGCATTGTGGACTAAAGTTTAATACAGTACTTAGGCTCAAGGGTTTGGCATTGTTTAGGTCAGAAGTTGACATCTTGGGCAACTCAAGCACAGAGCAATGTTTTGATAAAGACCCAGCATGCATCAGTCTATCAATTATGGGTAGGAGATTTAAACCGAGCGAAAGACACATCTGATACTGCCCTCTAGTGTTCAGACTCACGTCTGCCAGAGTTTAGCCTCTCTTTGTTTGACCATGTGACTTCACACAAAGACCAAACACATCATGAGTTTACAGCCAGCTGTTATTCAGCAATACGGCCATCAGTCAGAAGGCACATCACGGTCAGTTTTACAGAGCAACATTATAATAGTGCATCTATGATGGGTTGAGTCTTTATCATTCTTAATATGCTTCAATATTTGTGTGGCAGCACATACCGTGAACGGATGGTGAAGCAGATGAGCGCAGACCCGAGGAAGCACGTTCAGATTTAGAGGAGATACTGTAGCATCATCATCCTCACCGTCAACATTATCTGCACGGAAACCTCAGCTCTCTTCGCTGCTGTGAGATCTTGAGAAACTGCGTGAGCTGCAGGGTAGGGATGGGTGATACCACTTATTTAGTTTTCGATACGATACCGATATTTTTCAAGGCAGTATCGTCAATATCGATACCGATTCGATACTTCTGAACTAAATTTTTTAATTATGAAATGTATTAAATTATTAAATTACTAAGAGTAAAATGGGTAATGATAAGCACTTAACTTTGTTTAAAACACATTTTTAACATTCAATACGCCTTAATTGTAACTTATTAGGTTATATTTTTGTTTACACATGGTTCAAATATGTTTTTTGTTTACACATGATTCAAATCTACAAATATATATTTCGGATCGATACGCCCATCCCTACTGCAGGGTCACACAACTTCTGACAGCATTACTAGCATCACTCCTTTAGCCAGGTTAGACGACATATTGAACTGAATGTGGATGAAAACAAGGTTGCGATGACTTATAACAGCACACACTGCAGGAGGAGGTCACCGTGATTTTGCCAAGTGTCCAAAAACATAGACCTAACCCTATCCATATTTTATCCCAAAAACCAGAGGGTGCAGAAGCACCTAAAACAGACATTTCCTGTAAATATATCCCTCAATTCTGATTGGTTGATTGGGATGTTGATCCGGGAACATTTTTTGTACTTGCTGAAATCACGTTCGCCGTAAAAGGATGCTAGATTCTGAACGTTTCACAATTCAAAACAAATGTTTTATAGTTTTTGTCAGAAAGCTGTTTCATCGGTATTTCATTAAACAATAGTACAATCCATTGAAGGCACTGTACTTGAGTCCCTCACAGCCTCATTTTCATTCCTGTCAAAAATTTAAAATGCCGTCACCCTGACTGAGGTCTGCAGGGACTTTCCAAAAAGAGGGCACAAAATAGAGCTGGAAACTCTACAAAAATAGATTAAGGATTATGTTTTATTTAACATTTACTTGGTTTGCAATTTTTGTTACAATTTCTGACAAGTATAATTACATAAATACAAGTACATTTACAAAGCACTCTAACCCTAAATTTGTTTGATTTGACTATTTCCAAGTAAAAGTATTAATCTACAATAAAGTTTCATCAGTTTAGTTAAGATGATCAATGAACAATACTTCTACAGTATTTATTAATGTTTATTTACTAATACATTTTTAAAAGTTGTAGTGAAGTAAGTGGCCTTGTATCTGTTAACATGAGCAAATGCATTATGAACTAACAACTGTAGGCTTTTATGAATGCAGAATCACTCCAAACGATTTCACTTCCTGTGTGTCACAATTTGATGGAACACTCCATTTCTTTAATAGGGGGGGCATTATGTTGTGACAGGGTTGCATGATCAGTTTGGCACTCAGCTAGACAACACATTTCTGGCAAATGTATATATTTTTTTCTATAATGTATTAAATGTCAGTCAGATGATTTCATAATTATTGCACCATTTGTGGAAAAACAACCCTTGGTCCAGTGTTTCCCTGATACGGACACTAACAACCAGTTACACAACACCACGTCATCACATGATCACAAAAGAGTGAAGGTGCATCTACCAGATACAACACATCTCATACGAGTCTGTGTTTAAATTCACAAGGGAACGCAGGTGCAGTGCTGCTCAAACTTACAAGCTTGCTCTTCTCGTTTCTGAGGGTGAAACGGATACAGGCCAGATGAGGAATAGGCTGAAATGTTATCTGTTCGTAGCAGAGGTGTCACGACCGCTCAACACATGCTAGGACAGGGGTGGCGAACTCCGGTCCTGGAGAGCCGCAGCCCTGCAGAGTACAGCTCCAACCCTAATTAAAACCTACCTGCCTGTAGCTTTCTAGTAACCCTTCAGACCTTGATTAGCTTGTTCAGGTGTGTTTGATTAGGGTTGAAGCAAAACTCTGCAGGGCTGCGGCTCTCCA